GCTAGCCGGCGTTAAACCACGACAATCAGTCAATACAGAAATCATGTAGCAAAATTTAAATAAATTCATTAATGTCATACCTTCTTCTATGTTTAGCGAGTTCAGCGGGCTTGATTTACATTGATCCATCGAACCTACGCCGGAGTGGTACCATCAGTACGAGTGCGGCAGCAGCAGCCGCGGCACTTGAAGCCAGCAATGCAAGCAGCTATTTAACATCGGCAAGCAGTTTAGCAAGAGCATACAGTATTGTGATACGGCAGATATCTGATCTGATGGGTCTGATTCCCAAGTACAATCATTTGGTATACTCCCAGATCCCGGCTGCAGTGAAGCTGACTTATCAAGATGCAGTTAACTTGCAGGTAAGAACATCCAAATCTCTGTAGAGAAACATAATTTCAGTACAGTGAGTGTTTTTTAGGTAAAAATCATCAAATTGTTGAGGTTGAAAGTGACCTCTGAGGATTGTCTAGTCCAAGTTCCCTGCAAGATCAACAGGAGAAGGCTGCTCAGGACTGTGTCCAGTTAGGTTTTGAATATCTCCAAGGATGGAGACTCCCCAATTACTCTGGGCAACCTGTTGAGTGTTTGACAACTCCCATAGTGAAAAAGGTTTTTCTTGAGTTTAAATGGACTTTCCAGTTATGTCAGTTTGTGCGTATTGCCTCTCGTCCTTTCACTGGATATCACTGAGAAGAGTCTGGCTCTGCATTCCTTTTAATCAGCTGTTTATATACACTGATAAGATTTCCCTGAGATTGTTTCTGTAGTCTGAACTGTCCCAGCTCTCTCAGCTTCTCCTCATATGAGAGAGAGTGTAGGCAGAAGTAGTTGTAGTTACTAATTTCATTAGTTGTTCATACTTCATATAAACATATTCTTTCAAAAAAGGCATTTCAGTTGCTTTTTTTTTTTTTCCCCCCAAACTAAGTCTGAGGGGTATATAGCTAAGAGTTTAGCTAGGGTTGACTGCACTGGAGATACTAGTGGTCTCTACGAGAGATCTTTTGCCCTATTCTTGTTGACATGTACTGTTGAGTCTATAAAAGAAGAAAGTTAGGAAGAGCTAAATAATTAAATGAGATAAATTTGTACAGGTAAATGTATTGTTTGCTGTTCCTTCTTTGAGGGATGTGATCATCCTTCCTGTTATGCGCATGTCTTTTTGGTGCAGTGCTCCTGACTGTCAGTTTGTGAAAGTATATGTAAAATGCATCCTTAGAGAACATAGATGAAAGGGAAGACTGATGTCTGGAATGTATAGAGAGAAGTTTCGGCGAGTAACAATGTAGGAGGAGCTTCAGTGTGTTCAGAAAGTGTGTATCGACGTGCATGTGGGCGTAGTGTATAGAGTGAAGTGTTCTGTACTGAATTCATCTGCCAGAATAACTGCTGCTTTGGGGAGCCCAAGAAATGAACTGATGCAGTTTTCTATTAGTACTGTGTGCTGGGACATGAAGACCAGATGACAATATACTCCCATGTAATTGAGCCACAGGGTACTTGAACGGCTCTGTTTTCACACTGAGTTGGAAGAAAAAGGCTTCTGATTTGGGAGAGGAACGTTACAAAGATATTCTGGGATCAAACACTGGGGGAAATACGCAGGGAAAAAAATAAGAGAATACAGTTTTATTACAGAGAAGGCTGAAATCAGTTTCTGTTCAGGAGATTCTTAGTGGGACAATATTGTCTCTGCTGAGTAGAGAACTTTTGCAAAGGTTACCTTTTTGCCAGGTAAGTGCACAGGAGAGCTGTCCAGCTGAGAAGCATTTTGTTAGTTTAGTGGATACAAGAATATTTGAAGTGTGAGGGATGTTTTTGGATGCCAGAATGTGGAGGCATGAAGAAAGCAGACTGCTGTTGGATTTAAAAGAAAAAAAAGACAGGTCAGTGAGGTTAGGAAATCACAAGAAAAACAGGCTCCAGAGCTGGAACAGTACACTACCATAAATCAGCTGTCTCAGTAGAGCTTCCAGAAACTGTTCATTGGTCATTCTTGAATGTGGTTTTACAGCATTTTTTGTTTGTAGGGAATCAGGTGTAACTAAAAGCCATGGTGGAGGCTTATGTTGAGATTGCCCATAGAAGCTGTGGATGCCCTATCCCTGGAAGTGTTCAAGGCCAGGCTGGATGAGGCTTTGAGCAACCTGGTCTAGTGGAGGGTGTCCCTGCCCATGGCAGGGGGGGTGGAACTAGATGATCTTTAAGGTCCCTTCCAACCCAAACCATTCTGTGATTCTATTATTGCATTTTCATCATTTAGTTCTGTTGTCTGCAAAACTCATGAAATCTCATTTTCTATAGAATTATGTAGAAGAAAAGCTTATTCCTACTTGGAATTGGATGGTTAGTATCATGGACTCTACTGAAGCTCAGCTGCGTTATGGTTCTGCGTTAGCATCTGCTGGTGATCCTGGGCACCCAAATCATCCTCTCCATGCTTCTCAGAACTCAGCCAGAAGGGAAAGGATGACAGCCCGGGAGGAAGCTAGCTTAAGAACACTCGAGGGAAGAAGGTATGAAAGTAGTTTGATTACTGCATGTAGTAGGTATTACAGTCCCATCTTCTTGAGCACTGGTATTTTAGGAATCTGATTTTGTAATGCAGTAGTGTAGTTACTGTGTTCATACAAGTTGGCTTCCTGTGTTGTTGCTACTTTTTGATTTTCATAACAACTGTTTATAATATACTGCACCTGAGGTACTTATAGTAAAGCATAAAAATATGATTGTTACTCATTATCACACTATGTTTTGGGTTTTTTGGGGTTTTTTTGGGTTGGTTTGGGTTTTTTTTCCATCCATATTTCATATATGGAGACTAACTTGTAAAAGATGCGTTCTACTGTGATGCCTAATCTCTCAGTATTCAATCTTTTTCTTTCATTAGACGTGCTACTTTACTCAGTGCCCGGCAAGGAATGATGTCAGCACGCGGTGATTTCCTGAATTACGCGCTGTCTCTGATGCGTTCTCACAATGATGAGCACTCAGATGTTCTTCCTGTTCTGGATGTCTGTTCACTAAAGCACGTAGCATATGTTTTTCAAGCCCTTATTTATTGGATTAAAGCAATGAATCAACAGACAACATTGGATACTCCTCAGCTGGAACGAAAAAGGTATAGAGGCTGACTCAAGAAACAAAAACTTCTGTAAAAGTAGCACCTGCTCTTTTGTTTCAGTCATTGGCATTGTTACTCAACTCACAGATGCCTACATATATCTATATATCTGTGTGTAGTAACATGCATGTTATAATAAGAATATATCTAATGTACATATGTTTGATTGATAAGCCTGCCGCAGTATCCTGTTCGAATCTTCTTACTGATTGCTGTAAAAGGTTTTCTTACCACGGAACTTGAGTTTGATTTTTTTTTTTCTTTTTTTTTAAAAAACTCCGTGGCAGTGCCTATAAAAGATTTACTCAGGACAGTTTCTCAGCTGAAAAATATCAGCTCCACACATTTAACATGATAACTTTTAACATCAAACACATGAAGGATGTCATGGGAGGAAGTGTCAGTGTCTGGCATGATGGGCTTAAGTAGTTGTTTTCCATTTGGTTGTGGATATTTGAGACTTACCTGATCATTTAAAGCACAGTAGGGAAATCAACAGCTGAAAATGCCCTTAACTTGGAAATCCCTGCTACTTCAACTATACCATTTTGCAAGGTGCATGTATTACTTCTTAAAATATTGTAAGGTTTTAGTTTTCTTTTAGAAATGTTCTTTGATCTGAAATGGCAATTAACGACCATGGAAACATCCACATCTTTGATAGTCTGTACCATCTGTTCCTATTTCTTAGTAAGTTTTGAGGTAATGTGCCTGACCAGTCCTAGTCCACAGTTAAATAATTGCAAATCTTTTCCCCTTCCTGCTGCTAATTTTCAATATTGCAGGTTCAACTCAGCTTTTCCTTTTCTCTACAAATTAGTAACTGTAAAATACATGGTATCGATATTTTAGATATGTATTCAACTGCTGCTTTAGTTCCAATGTTGTGTTCAATAGATCTTGGTAGTGTAAGGCTTATAATGACCCCAGAAGTATATCGGGGGATGTTGTTGTCAACGGTAGTTTCCTCACAAGCAGGGATGGTTTAATAAAATAACTGAGCTCTTGAGCTGGCTGACTTGAGTAGCCAGAGCTGAGGCTGTAAGCCTCTTTCAGGCAATAACATACTTGATTAATCCTTGTCCCCAAAACTTAACTTACTGAAATCTGTCAAATAACCGTTAATCAAATAACTGCAAAAATTCCCATGGAGTACTTATAAAACAGTGAAGGCCTAGACCTTTTCAGTTCAAGGTGAGTGGTTCCAATTGAGTCAGTTGCTTCTGTTAGGTGACATGTTAGTAGCCTGTATGAAATCAAATTTTAAGTCTTCGTCTAGTTTCAGAAGATATTCCACAGTGCACAGACTGCCAGAAATGAATGCTAATCAAAGTTCTTGACCCTTTTTATAATACAGTGAAATCCATGTCTTTAATATGCACCTTGCAGGCTTACCTTCTGAAGTGTGAGCAGTGACATTGCTTTTATAGGAGTAGGCCTACACCAGTAAATTTCAGAGTAGTAGTCACTTACATATTCCTTCCAATAATGCAGGGTTCCTAGGGCATTTCTTATACTGACAGAGTCTTTAAAAGCATCATACCCAGCACTGACTGAACCTGTAACTTTTGAAATCAAACTTGGGAGGTGGCCAAGTGACTATAAAGGTATCTGCGAGTAACAGAGTGAGTATGTTAATGAGAAGTACTTTACAGTACTTCAGTTTTGGAGTGAGTTTGTTCTTGTTGTTTATAGGTCTCAAGCACACTTACACTCTTGCTTTTATTGATTTCTACAGGTGTAAATGCTTTGCCTAATGTTTTCTTCAAGAGGATTGACTTTTTTGTCTTTATTGTTTTTTTAAGAACTCGAGAACTTTTGGAACTGGGTCTTGACAATGAAGATTCAGAACATGAAAATGATGATGACACCAATCAAAGTTAGTATACAGAAATACTTCTATAGCATGCCAAAATGTGACACTTCCTTGGTGCCTTATCCATTTATCTAGCTGAGACTTTGACTAAATCTTGCTATTTGTGTATGTTGGGTGTTTTAATAAGGTTTTTTTACAATTGTTTCTTTACCAAATTTCTTCTGCCATTGCTTGTTCTCATTTTGAGGCCCTCTTCTTGACTCTTTTCTCTCTAAACTGCAGAATTTTGTGCCCTTAATTATCATTCTACACTATAACAGAATCTAAAATTTGAATCAGAGTTAAACTGATTCTTTTGATCTGATGAAACTGCTGCTGAAAATGGTAGAATGTATACTCTATGCCAAGTACATGCAGTGTAGGAGTACATGTTCAGTAGTGTCAGTTACAGTAAAAAGAATAAAAGTGGTGACTAAGGAACTTAATGAAAACATGGGATTTGTGGAAGTGTCCTGCAGAAGTACTAAATTTGCAGAGATGCTTCTCCAGTCAGATAGCCAAGAGGCAAGCATATTCATTTTTGGTATTTTAACTTCTTTAGTTTTATAACTGTGAAAACTGAATTGAAATCTTCTCTGATATTAGGTGCTACACTCAATGACAAAGATGATGACTCCCTCCCAGCAGAGACTGGCCAAAACCATCCATTTTTCAGACGATCGGACTCTATGACGTTCCTCGGCTGCATCCCACCCAATCCTTTTGAGGTTCCTCTGGCAGAGGCCATCCCCCTGGCAGACCAGCCCCACCTATTACAGGTGACATCAGAGATGGTGTTCTGGAAGAAAACTGCAGTTTGCTTTTTAATTTCTAACTGAAATATATTATTTACCCAGAATGCTTTTGTTAATTTTCAGCCAAATGCTCGCAAAGAAGATCTGTTTGGCCGACCAAGTCAGGGACTGTATTCATCTTCTGCCAACAGCGGGAAGTGCCTAATGGAAGTTACAGTGGATAGAAACTGCCTTGAGGTAGATTTAAAGGTTTTATTATTTTAAAGAATAGGGTAATTTAAGGTAGTTACCTCCATCCCTTAAAAAGACACATTAGTTTTTTCAGAGAGAATTAAGTAGCTTTCAGAATGATAATTTAAAAGCCCAGTAAGTGTGAAAACTTGGGACTTTTTATGAAAAGTGTGCTTAATTTTTTTAGATACAGGAATTTTTTTATGATTACTGATTGATAGCAGGTTTCAGGCAATGCTTTTAAAGGCTGCAGTACAATCACAAGTTAATTTTGAACTGCCAATTACATAATTATTTGTGATAACGGTGGAAGGTGTCCCTGCCCATGGCAGGGGGGTTAGAACTGGATGATCATTAAGGTCCCTTCCAACCCAAACCATTCTGTGATTCTATAAAAAGAATCCAGTCTCCCTGTAGCCCAGTAGATTTGACTTGCCTACAGACTGAGCATTAAAAGGAAAGTGTATGAAATGCAAACCAAGTGGGAAGATGGTTTTTTGTGTTTGTTGAAATTACTGGGGTTATTGTGTTTTAACAGGTCAATTATGATGCTCACTTTTGTCTGGTTTAAAAATTGTATATATGTGTCCCCTGAAAAAGCCTTCTAGACTGTTTTGAAAGTGCAATTAAATTTTACTTCTCCTTGTTTAGGTTCTTCCAACTAAAATGTCTTATGCAGCCAACTTAAAAAATGTGATGAGCATGCAAAATCGGCAGAAGAAGGAAGGGGAGGAACAAAACGTGCCTACAGAAGAATCTGAGAATTCAAAGCCAGGGCCTTCAGCTCATGATCTTGCAGCACAACTGAAAAGCAGCTTGCTGGCAGAGATAGGATTGACAGAAAGCGAAGGGCCACCTCTCACATCTTTCAGGTAGTCTGAGTTAAAAATTACTCTGTAAAATATTATTGAACTGATAAAAGAATATTTGAGATTCTGAAAAGCCTTTTTAACTTTAAATGGGTAGCTTGCTTTAGTTTGAATTTATGGTTTGTGTTTGATAGCTTCTAAAATGAAGAGCTGGACAGTCTTCAAAGCAGTCTGTGCAAACTGTAGTAAAAAACCCTTTACTACCTGACTTCCTGCTGCGTCCCTCCTATGATGTCCTGGGCAGTGAAGTTTAAAGATTGGAATGGACAGCTTGCCATCTGCGTCTGGTGGTACTGACCACACTTCATGCAGTTAGGGATTCAGCTGCCCTCATTCGGTTTTCTTAAAAAATAAGGTCTTCATTGAAGGGAGACTGATAACAGTGAATTCCATGTAGCAGTAAAGTTAAATGCTTTGAGAGTAATTTCCCTTTGGAAGCAAGACCTGTGTTTTAGCTGAAACTAAGAAGCTTCACGTGCTTTTGTCCACAAACGTGTCTACTGCTGTGGTGGTGTTTATCAGAAATAAAGATTTGAAGACAGAGGGTAAGAAAAAAAAGAGAAGTACACAAAATGTGTCTGAAATTTAACTTGATTTTGCTTGTCTATCACTTTTTCCCTCCTGTCAGGCCGCAGTGTAGCTTCATGGGCATGGTTATATCTCACGACATGCTGCTGGGACGTTGGCGCCTTTCTTTAGAGTTGTTCGGTAGAGTATTCATGGAAGACGTGGGAGCAGAGCCTGGATCGGTATGTATTCCGCAGCGCAAGGACAATTCCTCTCGCAACTTAATTGTGAACCTCCCACGTTATTCTGATTTGGTGTTTTTGTCTGTTTGTTTTTAAGATCTTGACTGAGTTGGGTGGCTTTGAAGTAAAGGAATCAAAGTTCCGCAGGGAGATGGAAAAACTTAGAAACCAGCAATCCAGGGATTTAACGTTGGAGGTAAAAAATGTTAGTCTATCTTCTGCATTTGTTTTCATTAAAAGTTGAATTATTGCACGCTGCAGTAGCTTGGTAGGAGGAGTTGTATTTGGGTCTGGAAACGGGTGTCTCAAACCTTACTTTGTGAGCTGTGTTGCAGTTACTCTGTAGTTTTTCACAGTTTAATTGGTATTTTCTGAGTCTGTGCAGAAGTTTCCAGAAGCTTCTTGTGATTCGTTTGGTATGATGATTGCTGAAGGAAAGAAAACGTGTTTGTGTTTTTTACTAGGTTGATCGAGACCGAGATCTTCTAATTCAGCAGACCATGAGGCAGCTCAACAATCACTTTGGTCGCAGGTGTGCCACCACGCCGATGGCTGTACACAGAGTAAAAGTTACTTTTAAGGATGAGCCAGGCGAAGGCAGTGGTGTAGCACGAAGCTTTTACACTGCTATTGCACAGGCTTTTCTGTCAAACGAGAAACTGCCAAATCTAGATTGTATACAGAATGCCAACAAGGGTACCCATACAAGTAAGTGATGCACAACAGTTCATCTACAGATATCATTCATTAAAGCCTTGAATGCTTTCTTTACATTGAAATACTTGGCATTGTCTCTGAGATTTCTCTTGTTAGCTTAGCACAGGAACGGTGAAAACTCTACATGTTACTTCTTTGAGGCAAGGAGATGGCTTTTTTTCTGCTTTCAGAAACAGGAAGCTCTTGTTTTTCTCAAAGCAAGAGTCTGCTTTAGATGCTCTCAGCTTTTTTGAGCATCTTTCTCTCCAGTAGGTAATCATTTCAGCTAGTAAGAGCTTACACGTTTTAATGATTGCTCCATTTGGCTTGTCAGAAATACATTTTAATGTTTTTGAAAGTATATATAAACTCCTGAAGTATTTTGACATTCGTAAGTTGGTACAAAAGCTTCAGATTCCTTTAAGTTTGGCTGAACCCCAGTCACAACCTAAAATGAAGTGGTTCTCTCTCACTGATGTCTTCCAAGCTATCTTCCAAAACTCTGTCCTCCTTACACTATGACTTAGGTAGGAGAGTGCACTGTAAAGATGTTTAAGCTTACAAAGTTGTTTTTTTTTTCCCTTTCAGGTCTGATGCAGAGATTGAGAAATAGGGGGGAGAGAGATCGAGAGAGGGAGCGAGAGAGAGAAATGCGGAGAAGTAGTGGTTTACGAGCTGGATCTCGGCGAGATAGAGATAGGTAAGTGATAGATTTTTTTAATTTGTTGGAGGTACTTTGACAAATAGAATAATTGCCTTGGTTATCTTCAGGAAAGGTCCTTTGACTTCCTCAAATTAAAGGTCTCTGGCTTTTTCACTTTCAGGAGCAATTTCCAGGATAATTGTTTGAAATTCAATATATGCTTCAATACTTTAAAGAACAATTATGCTTACTTTAGCATTGATAGATTAGGTCTCCACCATATGCCATCAGTCTCTCCTGCTAAAACAATAATAACTTCCGTACTAGAATGAAATTGTGAGGTGGTTTAGAAACAAGATAGCCAGTGGTGGCATGTCTGACGGCTGTATCCAAAATACTAGAGGTGTTAAAATCTCTGGTTCATTTTGATTCCCTGTTTCTAAATCACTCTCCAAGCAGCTACGAGCAACGCAACTATTCCAGCATAAAAGCTAATGCTCTTTTGAAAACAAACAATATCGTTCCAGGGGATTTTTTTCATATTTCCTCTGAAACGAGTACAAACTGCTCTAATTTTCTTAAGGGACTTTAGAAGACAACTTTCCATTGACACTCGGCCTTTTAGACCGGCATCAGAAGGAAATCCTAGCGATGACCCTGACCCTCTTCCAGCACACAGACAAGCCCTTGGAGAAAGGCTTTACCCTCGAGTACAAGCAATGCAACCAGTAAGACTTATCTAATACACTTAATGATACATTGTTCTTGTAATCTTTTAAATTAAAATTTCCTTGTCCTTTATTGTTTAACATAACTGAAAATATTTAAATATGTAGAGCTATTTTTTTTATATCCTTTGTCATTTTCTTAAGATTTTGTTTCTGTAATTTGTCATTTAGCTTAGGAGGTATCTTGAATTGCATTCTGGATTTAACATACTAAACCTTTCATAAAGCCGTATTTGAAAATGAGAACTGGATGAGAGTAGTAAGATGTTTCATTCCTTATCCCCAGGCATTTGCAAGCAAAATCACCGGAATGTTGTTGGAATTGTCCCCTGCTCAGCTGCTTCTGTTACTAGCTAGCGAAGATTCCCTTAGAGCAAGAGTTGATGAAGCAATGGAACTCATTATTGCACATGGCAGGTAAAGTACCAAGGACATAGATAAGAAATGAAAACTGATTTTGTGGCCAAAGCACTTGTGCTGTGCTACATCTAGCTCTGATACACGCAACTTACTCCTTGCATTGTTTGAGTGATGTTTTCTTTGGGCAGGTGACATGTGGACTTGGGTTTAACGTAATCTGTCTGGTTTCAGAATGTGACTATTTTTATTGTGAAAATAAATCTGCCTTTTTTCTTTTTTCCCTTACCAAGGGAGAATGGCGCTGACAGTATATTGGATCTTGGATTGTTAGACTCTTCAGATAAAGTGCAGGTAACAAACTGTTGCACAAATTAAGTTTACTAAAGATCCAGTTGTATCAGTTAATTTTAAAAGCCACTGGAGCCTTCCTTTATCACTCAGGATACAAAAGTTCAGTTTAATGATCTTGTGGACTTTTCTTCTTACAGTAATTACTCAAAAGTATAAAATGTTACTATTAATAAATATAATGGCAATTCTTATGCAATGGAATTTGAATCTTTGAGTCTCGTAGGAAATAACTTGTTGGTGTGTGTCAGTAACTAGAAGTAAGTTTGTTCATTGCAATTCTGACTTTCAAAACAGGAAAATAGAAAGCGACATGGTTCCAGCCGCAGCGTAGTAGATATGGAATTAGATGATACAGATGATGGGGATGATAATGCACCGCTTTTCTACCAGCCTGGAAAACGAGGCTTTTATACACCAAGACCTGGTAAAAACACAGAAGCAAGGCTGAATTGTTTCAGGAACATTGGCAGGTATGTTACTATTAACTTTCTATCCATTAAAAAATGTGTATTCGTCTTCTACAAAATACCAGGGAGATTACCAACGATCCGAGCTTCAAAATATTGAAATATTGAGCTTTCATGCTCAATATTGAAATACTGAGCTTTCATGCTGGAGCTAGTGGGGATATTGCACATGCCAACTTAAGGTTTCTTTTCCTGTTATATTCTTATTTCTGTATTTTTTTACAATCTGAAAGCTTTATATTGCAAGGTTTTTTTTTTTAATTATATATATGTTATTATTGAAAGTGGGGAGGTTTAGATAGGGCATTAGGAAGAAGTTCTTCACGGAGAGGGTGGTGAGGCACTGGAACAGGTTGCCCAGAGAAGCTGTGGATGCCCCATCCCTGGATGTCTTCAAGGCCAGGCTGGATGTGGCTTTGAGCAACATGGTCTAGTGGAAGGTGTCCCTGCCCATGGCATTGGGGTTGGAACTGGATGATCTTTAAGGTCCCTTCTAACCCAAACCATTCTGTGATTCTATGATTTTCTTTTGGCAGGGCTGGAAAGCTAGCTGTAACTTGATTCTTAGAATATTTTGACTTTTTTAATGTGAATTTGCTGAAAGATGTCCATTGGAGTTTATGTCGTGCCAAAACAAACCCCAAACGTTTATTTTCAGAATTCTAGGATTGTGCTTGTTGCAGAATGAACTGTGTCCCATCACATTGAATAGACATGTAATCAAAGTTCTTCTTGGCAGAAAGGTAAGCTGAACATAAAATCTGTATTTCCTTTAACTACATAGGATCTCATCTTTTAAAACTGCTTTGTTTCCTAACCTGCATTGATTGACTAGCCAAGCTGATACTGGAAATGTAAGGATGCCTTTAAATTTAAGGAGTGTTATTTTTTTATTTTCCAAGATTTTGAGCTGAGTAGATGTACTAGAAGTCAGGTATTTGACTAAGATGGAATTATTTGTAATAGGTTAGCCTTCGACGCTCTCCAGAAACAGCTTACTGTCTCCCCTTTTTCTCTTCTTGAGGCTGAAGACTCAAAGAGATAGTGTTGGGTAGCACTAGGCAATAGTATCTCAGCTTTACCAAAAGGCATTTTCCTTGACAGTTGAGAGAACTCATTGAAATGACTTGTAATTGAAGTTTTGCCTCGGGTGTAGGTATAATTTTAATTCAGAACAATAATTACCTAAACTTCTGGCAAAAATGCTTCTGCACCCCAATAAACACTGATCGGGTACTGCACATCTCGTGCATTAGTCTAAGTTCTGTCCGATGAACCAAACTTCACCCAAGGTTTCTCACCACTGTTTTTCCCTTGAACACAATGTTGATCACATAATCCAGCGTACATACGGTCTCCAATGAAAAAGGGTTCATGTCAGAAAGAGATGCCTCCGAATATCCTGCTATCTTCCAAGAGAGATTCCCTTTCTCATTCTTTTCTTCAGATTTTTCTACTTGAATACGTATTCCTTCCGGTTAAATACATCAGATGGATACATCAAAAAATATTTTGGTTAGGTTAGGTTTAGTTTTGTCAGTAGATGACTCTTCTCTTTGGGCTGATAAAGAACAAAGCATCAAGGAACTACGGAGCACAGCAAGAAGTAGACATTGGTGCTTGAATTGTCAGGAGCTGTGGTATGCAGCTAGTGGGCCGTCAGTCATCTAAGTGTGTATATAAAGCAGCAGCGTGTGTGTGTTCAAGTCGAGGGAAACCTTCAGCGTTCTGGAGCACTGATGCTCGGTTTCCAGCTTCAGTCAACCTCCATCAAATCTCTGTTGACCTAGGGGATCCGTACAAGAATTTGTTTTTAAAAAACCCTGTAGATTTTCTTCATGTCCTGTGTGCCCTCAGTAGGAGGAAAAGCTTTGCAGGTCTTTATGTTCTGCTGGTGCACTTCAGTCGAGTATTCTAACGTACATTCAAGTAATTTTGAATATATTCTTAAACAACTGGTATGTTCCAAACATACCTCTCTCTTCATAGGTGAACTGGCATGACTTTGCTTTTTTCGATCCGGTTATGTATGAAAGCCTTCGGCAACTTATCCTCGCTTCCCAGAGCACAGACGCTGATGCGGTGTTTGCAGCAATGGACTTGGCCTTTGCAATAGACCTGTGTAAGGAGGAGGGTGGAGGGCAGGTAAGCACAGCCAAATCTGCCTCTGTGGGTTCAGAACTGGACAGCTTGTGCATGTGGCAGTGTACACATGACCCATGCTCTTCTCAGATGGCACAGATAATGTTTTCCCCTTCTTGGATTCAAATAGAGTTCCCCATAGACATTGAAGTGTGGGTGTTGGGTTTGGTTTTTTTTTCCCCCCTTGACAATCTTTTAGAACCTACCATAAAGCCTGGATAGCATAATTGACCCTAGGGGAATCTCTAAAGCTAAACTCTAATAGTAAATTTTAGAATTAATTTAGAATTTTAGATTGAATTTTAGAATTTTGCTTGCTTTTAGAGGGATATTAAGCCATAAATCATTGTGGCTGTTGTAGTAATCTCATTTCCTTTTCTCTTTTTTAATACTTCTTGTTTCTTTGCCATAGGTTGAACTTATTTCCAATGGTGTAAACATACCAGTCACTCCTCAGAATGTGTATGAGTATGTTCGGAAATACGCAGAACACCGAATGTTGGTAGTAGCGGAACAGCCTCTACATGTAAGCCTTTGCTGGAGCATTTAAAAAAACCCAAAAACCAAACCACAGTCTGTCAGATTTTTAGTCAGTTAATTCCTGTCCTCATTATGGTATTGCTAATCAGGTTTCTTTTAAAGTTTTGACAAAAGATTGATTAAAAATAATTATCTATTTCTTCCCGGAGAGGGTGGTGAGGCACTGGAATAGGTTGCCCAGAGAAGCTGTGGATGCCCCATCCCTGGAAGTGTTCAAGGCCAGGCTGGATGAGGCTTTGAGCAACCTGGTCTAGTGGAAGGTGTCCCTGCCCATGGCAGGGGGGTTGGAACTGGATGGTCTTTGAGGTCCCTTCCAACCCCAACCATTCTATGATTCTATTCTTCTGTAATTGTATAGCAGTTTATGCAGTACTGCGAAGACTGGGTACTTTAAGCAATTTCTCTTTATTTTTAGAGTGAAAGATAATTTCTTTTTCAAACTTGCTGTCATTGGTTATGCATGTATGCTCACTTCTTGAGCTCAAATGGCATGTATCCTCTTGGAATCTTTGCTTTGTATTCAGCAGCTACTTTGTTCTAATAATTTGTCACCTCTTATTTGCTTAGCCTTACAAACAGCAATTGAAAAAAATTCCGAAATATTTGCATAAATCACCTTGAACTTCTGACTTTATTTTGTCCTTATTTTAAAAGGAAAAATCAGTTATGAAATGTACAACTTTGTTCTGATTTTACTAGCTTGGCAGGAAATCTAACAATTGACTTACAAAAGTATATTAAAAATAACTTTGTTTCTGAAGCCCTTTTTAAATACAAGTTGTGGAATAATATGTTTTTGTAAACAGTTAATGCAGTATCAATACTTAGGACCACTTACTCTGTCATATGATACTACCTCTGAACTTGGTCATTTCTGCTGGCTGTGGTTTCCTGCTGCACTTCTGAGATACGCTAGCAGGCTGCTAGGTTACCCCTGTGCAGCTTGGGTCCAGAAGTCTCACAGAAAGAGCATTTTCCTGGAATTAAGTTACTTGGTCTCCATGCCTGCATATATTAATAGCTGGATTTTTATTTATTTAAAGAGTTGAAAACCATAACGTTTGTATTTAGTTTGGAATGTACTGGAACAAATTTATTTGTATTCTGCCATTTTGAAACTGGAATTTCCAATCTTTACAGGATATTGGTTATTAATATGAAATATATATCTGTGTATATAACACTTTACAAGCAGACTTGACATGGTACTCTCTAAGGAAGCAAAGTAAAAGTAACATGCGAGATGCATTTTTCATAATTCTCATCAAATTCAGTGTAGTTCAGCAAAATACCTGAATTTTTTATCACTGGGGAGTGCATTTGCTTCTGCTCTGGGTGAAATATCAGTTCAAACCATTACTGCTTTCTTTTGCAATAGTAGGTAAGGTTTTACAGATTGGTGCAGTTCTTTGTTTCAGAAAAATTGCACGTCAGATGCTAGAGCTTTGAAAGAAAGGTAACAGAAGAATAATGAATTTGGAGTTAATAAGTGACTTCACATGGAACTTTTCAGTCATGCACTTAAAGTCAGTCTGGAAGTGATACAGCTATAACGTGAATCTTGTGGTTTTCACTTAAGGCAATGAGGAAGGGTCTCCTGGATGTACTCCCAAAGAATTCGTTAGAAGATTTGACAGCAGAAGATTTCAGACTTTTGGTAAACGGCTGTGGTGAAGTAAATGTGCAGATGCTGATCAGCTTTACCTCGTTCAACGATGAGTCAGGTACGAAATAACTTATTCAGAAACAGAGTTACAGGGATAACAATACTGTTCTGTGTGCTCTCGAGTTACCAGCATTAAACTTGAACTATCTCTTCAAATTTGACATCAGTTCATAAGGCACTTAAAAGTTCTAATTAGATGATTACTGTGGCTTTTACATACCTTTGAAAATGTTTACCTGGGGTGAGGGAAAAGCACATCTAGCTTTGCTGTCGCTTGATGTGGTAAATACAAGGATTGTGTTATTGGTAGTATATCATTCCTTCTGAAAGTTCTGGCCTAACTTTAGAACTCTGAGTGTGATGGATGCAGTCTAATATTTCTTACATCATTTTTAAGCTATATTTAGCGGTTTTGGAGCTTTTTTTGGAGGGAGGGAGTGGGAGTTGTACTAAGGTATGTCAGAGTTAGCCTTGACACTCAAAAGTATGTGTATTTGTTTTTAAATTACTAGTGTCTCCAGTACCATTTATGAATGAGGCTGTAGCCGAGATCCAACTTTCAGTACATGTAAACCAGATGTCTTAATACTCATTGTCCAGTGTCCCAGCTGAATTACACATATTTCTTTTTTTACTACACACAGGAGAAAATGCTGAGAAGCTTTTGCAGTTCAAGCGTTGGTTTTGGTCCATAGTTGAGAAGATGAGTATGACAGAAAGGCAAGATCTAGTAAGTTGTCCGTTCCCGACGGAAATGTGCAGAAGAACTGGAATTACTTTGGCATCGTTACTGTGTTTGTGCAGAGGCTTTATACGTGAAGAGCTAAGGTGGCAGAGCAGGGTAGTAGGGATTGATTACACTTTCGGTTCTGGAAACATCGGGTGTGACTCCTTGGCCTTCTTACAGCTGAAAGCAAGCGTGGTGTGTCCTTATCCATATTCACAAGGCTCTTACGGAAGCACAGCTGCAGTCCCTGCAGAGTCATTCTTAAGCTCAGTAGCTGTGGTTAGTTGACTGTGGTGTGGGCTAGTAGGGCTTTGAGGTTGAGGTTTCTTCCTGGGTCATCTACGGTCCTGATTTCTGTGTATCCTGCGGCCAACACCCGTGTCATCTCTCTAAGATGTCAGTAATGATACTGTCTCCTTTTCAGAGCCCTTTAGGAATAGCTGACGAGAAGCATGAAAGAACAAGATACTGTTTAATCGGGCCTTCATTTTTTGAAAAGTTGCCTGTAAATTGTATTCACTGTACCCTTCTTAAATCTATTTGCTTTTAACTTCCTCCTGCTTAAGTTACTATCTTTCCTTTACAGTTTGCTAAAAGGAAACAAGGACTAATGTGAAAAGCAGAATAGAGCACTTGTGTTAAGGAGTATCTATGGTTACACTTCGGTGGTGACTCTGCCCTGCAAGTCACTGTTTCACACTGGAGACGACCAACTAAAGATTGTCCGTTGCTGCCTTTTGTCCACACAAGCCTGTTCTGTAGACAGCGAGTGTGAGCGATTTCTGATGTGTCTGTGTTGGTGGCAGTCACCATCTTCCCAGGTGGATTTAGGATGTTTCATTTACCGAAGATTTATCAATGCAGAATCGTTTGGAGTGCTGCTTTTATCAGTTTCAACAGAAGTATCGGATAGAATGAGCGATTGAGGAAGGGCAGTGAAGGAAGCTACTACCAAAGCCTGTAGCATGACTCCCGAGTTCAGTTGGCGCATTGAGCAGAACGTAGCGTGATCAAACTTGGTGTGACTGCGGTGGTGCTTTACAGGACTAGTAGGCAGAACGAATTTTAGCCTTGCACAGAAACGTTTTAAATGCCATCTTCTTTTTTCAGGTTTACTTTTGGACATCAAGTCCATCGTTGCCTGCCAGTGAGGAGGGATTCCAGCCTATGCCATCCATCACAATAAGACCACCAGATGACCAACATCTTCCCACAGCAAACACTTGTATTTCTCGCCTTTATGTCCCGCTCTATTCCTCTAAGCAGATCTTGAAACAGAAATTGTTACTCGCCATTAAGACCAAGAATTTTGGTTTTGTGTAGAGTATAAAAAGTGTGTATTGCTGTGTAATATTACTAGCTAAGTTTTGTAGATTTTTCCATTTGTCTATAAAAGTTTATGAAAGTTAATGCTGTCATGCCCCTGGTGGTACTTAAAGATTTAAATGCAAACATTCCTGTACTAAATTTGTAACGCAGAGGCCTAAGGAGCGCTGGCAATACCTGATGGCAACAGTTTGCTAGTCAGTGACTCCTTTGCCTAACCCCAGCCAAAGATGACAGCAGAACAATATAATTTACACTGTGATTTATCTTTTTGCTGAGGGAAAATATGTACAATGTTCTGAAAATTCACTGCTGCCTTTGTGGAAAGTGTTTCAGCAAAGGTTCTTGTATAGAGGGAGTAGGGAATTTCGAAATAAAAAATTAAATATGTTCTGTGTTTTATTTTAACTTTTTTTTTTAATGGTGTTTAATTTGTGGTTGGCTGCAGTTGTGTATCATGTATATTGAACTTGTAAAAAGTTCCTGACAGCTCAGATCCCGGACTTGGGATCGTTCACTTACGAAACCACTTCCCACTGCAATTTTTGATCTGATTGCATTGAACTTTGGCGCGTCAGATACCATCACTGATATTTTGCATGTAACCTGTACCTTTAGTGGTTTGGGTTTTTGGTTGTGGTGTGGTTTTTTTTTTTTTTTTGTTCATATGATGAGGCCAATGCACAGTATTTCATAGTTCACAATCAACATTTTTGTATCCCTGTTTCAGTGAACAGGCAGTCAGGAGATTGTTCCACTACCAGTTCTAACCCGACACGTGTACTACGTTATCTAACTATGTAAACTCAGCCTGGGCACTTTCTGGTAACTGTAAAATGTTTATAAGATCATGATTATTGAAGATACATTTTGGAAAACTTTAATGTTCATGAGCAGCTTAACTTCTTTTGTATCTAGCCTTTTTTTAAGTATCTTGTTACAGTTTTTTAATAAAGAAATTACAGACAAAATACTAAGTCATACTGAAGAAACAATAGTTTTTCTTTATTTAGCCATTTCTACTTTAGCTAACAGCATACACTAAACACAGTTGTTCATTAAAAATCTGAATTTCGTAACTGAAAAATTGACCTGCAGAAGACATTCAGCCCACATTTTACAGTTAGCAGAGAATCCTGAATGAAACAGGCCAGGCAACCCCTTCTTTTCGCAGAATTAGTTTGAAGGGAAAGTGGCTTGTTCTGAAAAGTCTCAGGGTAATCAGGTTAGAATGAAGTTCTCAGACTGCATTGTAGTTGCATCTACCGTATGTTCTCTTTCAGAGTGGTTGGTTGTTTTGGGGGAGGGCAGTCTTTGACCGTGACCTAGGACTCCTCCCTAATGCTTGGGGGATTTTTGAGAGTTAGGAAGGGACTAATAAAGGATGGAGCTACTTTTTCTCTGTCAAAAGAAATTTCTGAAAGCTTAGCAGACTGAATTCTTGAAGGTTAAGAGCTTTTGTGGTGGTGATGTTCTCCCTCTTTCTTGCTTCTCCAGCCCCATGAGTCCATGTTAACGAGTGGGGTTTTTTTTCCTTCCTTTTGTTGGGAAGAGCCAAATTAATGTTCCGTCAAAATTCAAGTAGAATTCACCTTTGCCAGAGCTCCACTGGGTTTTCCCTTCTGTCAGCTAGTTGAGGACAACCAGAAATTTCCTATAGCTATGATTTACAAAAAAAGCCTCTGTTTTCATCATATATTTAGTTGCTAGACGTACGGAGGACAGTTGAGATAAGACATTCCAATCACCAGTTGCCAAATTGATGCTAAAAATCCTGTTTTCTAAATAAGGCCAACTGTTTCAGGCTTGTGTAGTTAAACTGCAGATAAATCTAGTAAACAGATGTAGAATTGTTTCTGCGTGTACTAATACTTCCCAAATCAGTCGTCCTAGAAAAGGATAGTTACGGTGTATGAGGACTGGAGTCTACTCTGGATTTCCTGTTGTGACCTCCAGTGTATCTTAGGCTCAAAACTGCGTCAGATTTTACAGTGCTGGTGTCGATTAATAATAAAAAGCAGTACAGCTACACAAGTCTAGCTGTAGGTGCATTAGTATCGAGAAAAACACATGCTACTATGGCTGCTCTCGTGTGCTAAGGAGGATAGTGACAAAGGTACAAAGCGACATATTCCTTAGGCCTGGATTTCTAACTGGGTTAATTATTTCCATTACCAAAACCGCCTCTAACTGAAATGTGTAAAGTTAGTAGAAAGCAACAAAAGAAACTGTTTAGAATAGGCATCAAATCTACAGTCTGTAAAATAAAGGTCCTTCCCTCACAAAGCTTTGTGAGACCTGATGTATTAAAAACTATCCAAGGCCCTTTGATGAAAGGCCATATAAAAATGTAAAGTACTGCGTGTATATAAATATATATATGTATTGTGTGTATATGTATATAAGTGTATGTGTATGTATAACATATAAATATATGTTATATGTATATATATTTCTGTAAAGCTTAAACATTTTTTTAAGTCCTGTAATGTATAGCTAGACAAAAATTATGCAGATAACTCACAGTAGCTCACCATATATACACACATAAGGCATTCTGATAAGCGGCGAGGGAATCTAGAGTGATTTATGCTGCCGTCATTGACTTGAAATGTGTATGTAGCTTTATAAATAGCTTTTTTCCTCTGTATGGTGTATTTAAGCTATATCAAGATTTTAATAAGAAAAATGTTTATTAAAATCATACACCTCATCTCCCTTTGGCTTAAGCCCTTCTGTTAGTTCACTTTTAAGGTGTGATAGAGAAACTAGTTAAAGGAAAATTTTGTCATGTTTACTTTTTTTTAATAGTCTAAACCCTTAGCTGTTCATAACCGCTGAACTAGGAGGAAGAGGTAGCTACTAATAAAACGTTATCACCAACTGCTATGTTTATTAAAATCATACACCTCATCTCCCTTTGGCTTAAGCCCTTCTGTTAGTTCACTTTTAAGGTGTGATAGAGAAACTAGTTAAAGGAAAATTTTGTCATGTTTACTTTTTTTTAATAGTCTAAACCCTTAGCTGTTCATAACCGCTGAACTAGGAGGAAGAGGTAGCTACTAATAAAACGTTATCACCAACTGCTAGACTAGTTCCTGAATGTAGGGATTAGGGAAAACTGACACCTTAGTGCTAACTTCCATGGCTAGTTCTTGGCGTTGGTTTCTGTTCCTTAGCTAACTGTGTCCAACCCAGAAAGAAAATCGCTTGCTCCAGCTTTGTTAGTTTTCCAGGAGTGAAAAACTGTATGGGTTTGTGAAGCGGCCTTTCCTACCTCTCTGGTTTGGGAGTGATTTTCCTTTCCTGCAAGTTAGTCGTGAGAGAACACGCAGGGAAAAAGCTGTAAACTGGCAAATCCATGAATCCAAAGCAACTAAGTAAATTGTACAGCAGCAGTCATTCGTGGAAGCGGAGGAAAGGGAGTTTTCCTAATCTCTTAACGCTCGTTTATCTTTGTGAAAGTTGCACAATTGTATACTTTATACAAAATTGTATATTTTACTTCTGCGTGCGCATCCCAAGGGGAGAGCAGGGGTGTGACCCTTTCCTCGGTAGTAGTTCTGCGCAGGTGGGAGAAGGCACCAGTCACCCCCAACTGCCTCCCTTTGGTTCTGCTTCCGGCAGGGAGCCCTAACTCAGCACGCCCCATCGGCCTTCCTCGTGCCACGTGGTAGACTGTAGTAGGTCAGTAGTAACCTCCTCGGAGGAAGCTTGTGCTCTTCTTTAACTCCCGTTTACAGCGGCCTTACAACCTGTGGGTCACGTCCCGGCGTGTGAGTGTCTGAATGCCATTCAGAGCTTTTCCATGTCCGTACTCTTCACTCCATCGACGCCTGCATTCCTCTGGCTGCTTCTCTCTCGGGCACGCTACAGATACCTGGCTTAGGAGCTTTGATTCCCTTCCTCTTTGCAAGCTTTGTATGATCTGATCTTTGTTCCTGAACTCCTCAGTTTGCCTTTTTAATAACAGCTCTGCCAAAAGCAGGCCAAATTCAAGTCTAGGTTAACTGGATTTTGGTGCCTGTGGCGTTTGCTTATCCCAAGGTCTGAATGTCCGCAGGCAGGCAAACACATAGGTGAACTGGTCGCGTGAAAGCTTCGGCGGCTGTCTGGAACCGGCAACGCTGGAACTTCCTGCGTGGTCTGTGTGGGGAGGATGTGAATAGGCTTCCCAGTGGGAATCAGGCCTCCAGTGTAGTCATTGCCCAGCAGGACTCTTAGCATCATCACGGGGTCCTGTCCTAGCTGGAAATCGCCTTTGTTTTTAGTTTGCAGCTGAGTATCTTCTCAGGAAGCAGATTTTCTGAACTGAGAAGCACGGGGGGGCTTTTAATTTCTTATATATCTCTTAAGGATTTTCTGAGTTCTGTTTGAGAGGATAACTTCATGTTTTGTTTGAAACATGAGTGAGATGACTTTCCCCCTTTGTCCATGGCGTTCTTAATATAAAGGCACATTTTGTCATTCAGTACCACCACAAGTTACTATTGTAGTAATACATCGTGTAGCGTAGCAAGCAGCAGTCGGTTGCTACCAGCTGTTTCGGGACATTTGTCCATAATAGTGATACTTTCCAGTATCCCTTGTCCAGTGACAACAGCAGCTGACGCTATGCCTGTGCTTGTACACTACAGCCATGCCAACCTATGGGAAAAGAGGTTGCTGTTGCAACCTGTTGTAAGGGCTCTCTGTGTGCTGTGTGGCGAGGAGGCTCGAGAAAAGGGCTGGTTTGGAGGTACTGAGGTTATTCGCAAATTAATTGCCATACAGGAAACAGTTTTAAGCTGAAAAAGTAGATTTCACTTTATAAATGAAAATTCTTCAGTTTATCTACAATGGTATTCTTTATATACATTAAAAAAATGTATTTATAAAGCATTTCTAAAAGGCAGCTAAGTAGTCCCAAAATAAGTAACAGCATTTAGGGGGAGAGAGGGAAGAGGCGTGTTGGTTCAAGCTGTGATTACTGCATTTTGGATGCCTCAGTAGGTAAAATTTTGGAACACTCTTTGTATCAGTAACTTACTTTGCCCAAAAAGTTCCAATTGATGCTAGTATAGATGACATTTTTCCATTGCTTTTATTATTTTCAGTAGTACTAAATACAGCATGAACTTCCGGATTGTTCTCATTCACGTCTTTCCGAAGGAGGATGTGGACAGGCTTGGGTTTGGGGATTTTTTGATGATTTTTTGAGTGGATCAAAATTCCTCTGTCGGACAGAGCAAGCTTTGGGAATGCAAAGCTGTGCTGGAAAGCCTATGAGACGGTGTACTCAAGGTGTGTGCCGCTGCACTTCCGTTAATTGCAATTAGCAGAGTGAGAGAGCCGTTCCCTGCAGGAACACCCGTTCTGGCGTGCTGTCTTACTGTGGGTCTTCTCCCCTCCTTGCTGTGGAGTGTCCTGCACCTCCGGGAATTGCCACCGTGCTTCCAGGACGTGAAAGTGGACATGATCCTGCGGATCAGAGTCCCTT